ATATTATATATATAAAACAAAACCATGTAAAAATACATATTGACATGAAAAAATATATATGAAGTCATTCAAGAAATACAAATTAAAACAACGTTGAGGTTCTATCTCATTTCAGAAAGGATGGCTATCATCAAGAAATCAACCAACAACAAATGCTGGCAAGGCTGTAGGGAAAAGGAACATTTCTCCACTCTTGGAGGGAGTGTAGACTACTAATACAACCACTATGAAAAATCAGTATGGAGATTCCTTAAAAAACTAAAACTTGAGGTTCCCTTTGACTCAGCTATTCCCCTTCTAAGGATCTTTCCAAAAGAGTTAAAAGCATCATACCAGAGATATATGCATACCCAATGTTTATAGCAGCACAATTTCTAACAGCTAAATCTTGGAAACAGCCTATATACCCATCAACAGATGAATTGAGAAAGAAAATGTGGGTATTTATTCTTCCATAAAGAAGGATAAATTTGAATCATTTGTAGGTAAATGGATGTACCTCAGGACTGTAATTTTAAGTGAAATAAATAAGACACACAAGTTTAAATATCACATTATTTCTCTTGTATAAGAAACCCCAACAATAAACAAAGGGCAAAGTGGAGGATAGATACTGGAAAGTAGGAAGAACGTGTTCAAATGGGAAGGGGAACGAGGGAGGGAGGGGAAGGAAAGGAAGGGGTTGAAAAACAAGGAAAGAAATAATGGAAGCAAAGCTTCCATAAATGAGGGGGAGAAGAAGGGTTGAAGGGAAGGGAGGGAAATGGGGAGAAAAAGAATTAAGATAGGTACAAGTACAAATTCCCTATAATGAACATGAGCACTATGTATATCAAATATGTAATAATAACTCATACAAGGGAGGAAATTATAAGGATCAGAGCAGAAATTAATGAAATGGAGACTAAGAGAATGATACAAAAAGTGCATCAAGGAGATGGTTTTTTGAAAATAAATAAAATTGGTGAACCCTTGGCCAACCTTATCAAAAAAAGGAAAGAAAAGGCTCAAATTCATGTAATTAGGAATGAAAAAGTTGAAGTCACAACAGCTCCATCATATCCAGAGGATCATCAGTATCTGCTTCAAAAAACTGTACTCTCACAAAATGGAAAATACAGAAAAAAATGGACAGATTCCCAGATATATATGAACTTCCAAAATTGAACAAAGAAGCTATAAAAATTCTGAACACCCCAATTACCTTCAGTGAAATTTAAAATATAGGGTCGGGGATTTAGCTCAGCAGTTTGGTGGCCTCCTTGCAAGCGCAAGGACCCGAGTTAAATCCCTGGTACCAAAAAAAAAAAAAAAAAAAAAAAAAAAA